AAACTTCAATATAAAACTATCATTAAGAGAAAAATACAATTTTCACAGTATCTCTGTAAATTAAAGAAAATCAGAAGTGAGTATCTGCTTTTTTATACCTCAAAATAAATAAACTGACTGTTAGAGAAACCTCAAAGTAAAACACAGGCCAAGAAGCTCAACTGAGATTAAATCACAAGAATTAAAGATAATAATTACTTTTTAACCATTTTGTCTTTTTCACAAGAGTAAATCTTCTGTCACAAAACCATATGCAGTTTTCACACTAATTAAAGGTTGTATGCAACTTATAATAATAAGCCAGTTTGACCATATCTTGAAACTTGAACTGTTTTCTAGGGCAATGTTCAAGGGGTACAAAGATGTTCAAGCATTCAAAGTAAGCCTCAGTCTCAGTTCTCCCACTCTGTGATCCCATTCTGTTCTTGCATCTTCCTAACTCTTTAACACACAGCCAGAAATTAAGAGCAACCTGGGCAGAAGCGACCATAGAGCTCTCAGTGAAGGGTGCAGTTTTTAAAGCTGTTCATTTATTCTCCAGGCTATTAGAACACAGGAGCTGGCTCAACTCTCACATTCTATCTGCCTTTTTATCTAGAGAGTATCCTTTAGGTTAATGATTATTAACACTGCCTTCGTGCTAATAAAGAAAACTCCATTCTCTACAAGGAGCTCTGAAATTATCTTACCTCCATAAAACGTATCAGCTAGGAAGGGTGCAGTTACCCTAGTAATTAACAGTTCCTACCTGCTCCTAACAGTTCCTTACTGGAGAATGTTGCATACACTGAAGAAGAGGGAGGCAAGAATGCCACAGCAAGTGTTATTTGGGCAGAAATGATGCCTAACTTTTGGAAAAAATCCAGACATTAGTGTCTATTTTAAAGCTAGATTTCTTGCACAATTAATTTTCAATGCACTAACAAGATTAGTAGAATCATTATAGGATTCATGCTTTTTGGCTTGTACTTTTGGGAGGAAAGTTGCACGTATCAGGACTGAAAATTAATAAAAGATACAGAAACAGAAGAAGGGCTGCTCTCCCAAAAAGAGTGCAAACTCAGTGCAGTAAAGCATTGCTTATCCAATTATTTTTATTTGAATGTTTGGCGTTTTTACATTTATCTGAGTTAGCAGAATGTTAGTGTTTTGCTTGATTTTGTTTCTAAAAAGTAGCTGACAGGTAGGAACAGATACCTGGGCATGACATTTAAATTCACCACCAGGGAACTCAAGCTACTCAAGGAGAACAAACTGATGTGTATTACTACATAACTAAATCTTGAGCAGATGGCTACTTTATACAGCTTGCAATATTCTATTTACATATGGTGCCAAAGTACTGTTTTAGTGTATAAAATGTGTACTCTGAATACACCAAAACTTTACCTTGCACTGGAGAGTTTGATCATGTGTCTAAAGAACAGGAATCTCAAATAAAATTTTCAGATGATTGGAGTCAAGCCATCTTTTAAAACCAACTGTTTGGGGAAGAGTGGCACCTGTTTGCTTTTCAGTTGTGATTTTTAAATTTTGTCTAGTTTATTATGTAGTATTTCCTATTCTTCATCTAAGGAGAAAAGCATTTTCTTGCCTTGGTAGACAAAGGACTCAGTGTGAGATTTTTAGGAAGATATAGACAGAGAGGGATGGATAAGTATGCACAACTATAGCTATATGTATTTATATATATATATATATAGTGTTGGGATGAATCAGAGAAAAGGTTTGTCAAGCCAAATTCCCTTCTAACAGTGGCTGATAGGTAGGCAAACACCTACTTCACTATCTCCAAGTTTTCCCAAGTTTTCCACTACACTGATGTGATAAAGGAATAGTTCTGTTCTTCTGGAAAATTCATCCCATAATAACATACAATTTCAATCAGCATAAGCAGTTCAGAAATCACTGTCTATGATGTTTTCTCATGTTCAAAACAAGGGTAGAAGGTGGAAAGATTCTAAGTGTAAAAATTAAGCCTGTCGTACAAGAACAACACAGAGTGCTAAATTCTGTCTGTACACTACTGCATCAATTAACTTCACAGGAATTGTACCGGGTCGCAATGAGGTGCGACATTAACTGCAGAAAAATACTTCATGTTCAAAAGCAAGAGATTTATTTTCCAAGTGACAGTCTGTGGGCAGGATCATGGAGCTCCAGCTTCCCCAAACCTCTGTTTGTGTTTCATCTTTCTCATCACAATGTGCAGCACATTTCAAAGGTAAGGACAACACAAAATGGGCAACGTACCACCTGCAGAGTATTTTGTGATCTTTACCAAACACTGAAACTGATACCTGTCAGAGAGGTGAAAAAGCTGCTGAAATTAATCAAAGCAGAAACTAACACTCCCGGGCATTACAAACAAGGTCTTTTAGGTCATATCTTGAAAAATGTTATTTTTTTGAGACAAAGGACTTTTACCTGAGCATTAGCAGTGAGTGATATGGAGACTGCAAGCCTCACCCAGGTACCTCCTGTAAGGCATCATTTCCACACCTAATGGCTGCAGAGGACTTCAAATGATAAAAGTAAAAGACTAAATGGAAGCCTATCACTAATTCTGTTCCTTTACTAATCAAGCATAGAAACTGCAAATTGAAGGTAGCATCTCTCTATCAGAATATCTTAAAATAAAACTTACAGAAAGCAGAGACTGAAACATAACTCCACAGCTGTAGCCCTTATGACCCAGAGGGCACAGCATGTTCAAGAACATTTACAGAAACTGAAATGCTTGTTCAGACTGGTATATCCTGTAAAAGAGGAGAATTTCCAGAGAACCAAGTACAAAAGGAAGGGAGAATATGCAGCTGACATGGAAGAAAAAGATGTAATGGTCACAAGAGCAAGTAGCAAGGGCATGTACTAGACAACATCAGGGCTACAAAAAAAAAGATGAAACCCTAAACCCTTTGTTAAATCAAGTATAATTCAAAACCACGGAATGATACATTTCTGCAACTAACCACACGGGCATCACTCAATAAAATGTGCATCAGGGCATCTACTGCCTGAAGCCATGTATTCAGGTTCTGGGAATGGGAATAAAGCATCTTGATCTTGTCTCTGCCTTGGATGGCTGAACTCAGGTCTGCCAGGAAGGACCACGGATGACCTGATCAGCAGGGGGTTAACACCACCTTTTGTTGTGAACTGCTCTTCCCTCTCCATTGGCATGAACACTTTCATCATTCCACATGTTCTTCCTTGTGAGGAAAAGTAAAAAATTACTAACAGTGCCTCCAAGCAGACAGAAGAACTGAGTTCACCAAAGAGAGCTATAAAAATCAAAGAGAATTATAGAAGTTGAGAAATAAGAATTATATTTCAAGAAATTCCTTTGCACCTCCTGTATTCAGCAAGTCTGTGTGAGTCACCGTGGACAAAGATTACCAAAAGCATATGTTTAGCTAGGGCTCTAACCAGCAGCATACTAGTAGAGGAAGCATTAATATAATTTATATAGGAAAATACTGGGATCATAGAAGATTGCATGGATGCAGTAGAGTGCCAGCCCTCTGGAAAAGAACAAGATGCCAAAAATACAGTTTCAAAAACATCTGCTTCAAAAATTCTGGAAGCAAAGCAACTGAAACCCTTCAGTGTTAACAGAAGAACGTCAAAAACATTAACAGAAATTAGTAACAGCTTCTAAGAGGAACAGCAGAGATTAGGACTGACTTAATACCACAAAATACTTAAGATTTACAAAAAAAAAGTCATTTAAATTAATAGTTTCGGTGCCAAAAAATAATCAGGCATCACAAACAAGTAAACATAGTGCAAATAGAGTCATCCATTCTTAATGATTGTAAAAGTTTTATGGTAAGAATTCCTTTTCACGGACTTAAATGGAATACACTAGAGACATCTTTGGCAGCAGCTATACAATGCCAAGTGATGATGAAAAAGGAAATTTGTTTTTGCTACAGATGGTTACATTTTAAAATGTAACCTTTTCTAAAAAGGACAGTCCCCGGGAGGTGTGACATCTTACCCGCTAAATTCACATGGGTTAAACACAGCTCACCTACAGAAAATTAAAATTAATCTCCTGCCATGTCTCATCAGAAGTTTGACAGGCTTCAGTCAAACTTCTGTAGGGAGGACAGAAGATGTCCAGAAGATA